GAACAGGGAAAAAACAAGGAAATATGAGTGGAATACTTTAAATTAAATACAGAAAAAGATACATCAATAGATATAATAGGGGATGCCAGTAAGGCTTACATGGGAGAGCATAAGACAAAAGGGGGGGGGGGGAGCGAGATTATAACAAAATAGAAGACTAGGATAGATGCATTTTAAAAATGGAAATAAAGGCTAGAATAAATCCCCAGGACAAAAATATTCAGTACCAACTGGACCTACTAAGGAAACAAATGAACACATTTCATTTAGTTGAGATGGAGAAAAAACTTACATTTGCAAGACAACAATACTTCGAGAAAGCAAATAAAATAGGTAACTGGCTAGCAAGAAAAACTGCAAAAAGAAAACAGGATAGATGCATAACCAAAATAGTAAAGGAACGGGAAAGCTACCATCACACTAAAGATATTATTTACCAATTTGTTAATTATTACAAACAACTATATGCAAATAAAAACATATCCAAAGAAAAAGTAGTGCAATATCTAGAGAACCAAGGTATTAAAATAAATTGTCTGAAGGACAAAGAGAAATTCTAAATGGGAAAATTTCAGAGGAAGAAATAAGAAAGTCAATTAAAAATTTGCCGCCAAATAAAGCACCAGGGCCGGATGGCTATACCGTGAGTTACTATAACATATTCCAAGACATGCTCATACCCCCACTTCAAAAAGTCATGAACAAAGTAATGGAAGAAAGGAAAATACCAGATAGATGGAAATTTGCGATAATAACCCTGATACACAAGGAATCAATGAAAAGAAGTCGCATTGCTATTTATGGATGCTGAAAAGGTATTCGATAATGTAAATTGGAATTTTGTAACTTCAATACTAAAAGAAATGTATTATTATTTATTTACTAAATTTGTATATCGCCCTTCTCAGTCCTTAGGTGACTCAGGGCGGTCAGCCCTTAGGCAACTCAGGGTGGAATGGATGGTGGATATTATTTTATAAATGCCGTAAAATCAATATATACCCAATAAACAGCAAAAATAACAATATCTGGATATTGGGATAAATCAATGAATATCCCAATAAACAAAGGAACGAGACAGGGATGCCCCCTCTTTCCATTATTGTTCATATTAGTTCAAGAGTCTCTGCTAACTAACCTGGAAGAAATAATGAATTGAAAAGATTAAAAACAAAGAAACAGGTCTATAAGTTCCACGCTTTTGCGGACAATGTTGTCTGTATTATAGAATACCCGCTAGGACAGCGCTTCTCAACCTGGGGGTCGGGACCCCTGGGGGGGGGGTCGTGAGGAGATGCCAGAGGGGTCACCAAAGACCATAAGAAAACACAGTATTTTCTGTTGGTCATGAGGGCTCACTGTGGGAAGTTTGGCCCAATTCTGTCATTGGTGGGATTCAGAATGCTCTTTGATTGTAGGTGATCTATAAATCCCAGCAACTACAACTCCCAAATGTCAAGGTCTATTTCCTCCCAAACTCCACCAGTGTTCACATTTGAGCACATTGAGTATCCGTGCCAAGTTTGGTCCAGATCCTTCATTGCTTGAGTCCACACTGCTCTCTGGATGTAGGTGAACTACATCTCCAAAACTCAAGGTTAACGTCCACCCAACCCTTCCAATATTTTCTCTTGATCATGGGAGTTCTGTGTGCCAAGTTTGGTTCAATTCTGTCATTGGGAGAGGTCAGAATGCTCTTTGATTGTAGGTTAACTATAAATCCCAGGAACTACAACTCCCAAATGACAAAATCAATTATCCCCCCCTCCAACCCCACTATTCAAATTTGGGCAAATCGCGTATTTGCATTAAATACATCCTGCATATCAGATATGTATATGATAATTTATAACAGTCACAAAATTACCATTGTGAAGTAGCAGTGAAAATAATTTTATGTTGGGGGTCACCACAACATGAAGAACTGTATTAAGGGGTCGCTGTATTAGGAAGGTTGAGAAACGCTGCGCTAGAAGAAATAAACAAATAGTGGCAGGAAATCGAGAAATTCGGAAAGGTGGCAGGTTTCAAACCAAACAAAGATAAAACACAAATTCTGACTAAAAATATATTTTTAAAAGGCAAGAGGGGTTACAGAAAAAATTAGGCATCAGGATATTTACAAAAACAAAATACTAAGGAATTATTATTACCAGCAATGCGCAGCTACTGAAAAACAATTACGACAGGAAATGGTCGGAAATAAGAGAGAAATTAAAAAGATGGGAATCTTTCTTTACTAGGAACAATAGCTGAAGTAAAAATGAATATTTTCCCAGAGGTACTTTACTTGTTCCAAACTCTACCTATAATAAGAACAAATGAAACTTTCAAAAAGTGGCACAAAGATATAAGAAAATTTATTTGGATGGGGAAGAAACACAGAATTAACTTAAAAAATTTAACCGATGACAAAAAAAGAAGTGGACTAGCTTTATCAAACTTCCAGATCTACCACGATGCCTCGGCACTATGCTGGATAAGAGATGGTGTCTATTAGAAAAAAAGAAGATACTTGCTCTAGAAGGCCACAATTTGATGCAAGGGGGGCACAGCTATTTGAGGGGAGGGGAATCAAAAACAGAAAAGAATTTTAAGAACCATCTCATAAGATCAGCTCTCATCCAAACCTGGAATAAATTCAAAGAAAGACTATACTCTAAAACCCCGCTATGGTTCTCTCTAAATGAGGCAACTCATTGTTGGGGTTCAGCCTGAGTTTGAACTTGAACCTGACTCTCTGTTTGTTCCTCCTGATGCTAATGAAAGTATATTTACTGATGCTAGTGGAAATGTACCTTTTGATGCCAATGCTCCTGAAATTAGTGAGGAAGAAACTGCTGTAGGTTTGGAAAATGCCAATGTTCCTGAAATTAGTGAGGAAGGAACTTCTGTAGATTTGGAAAATGAAAGTACCAGTGTTCCTGAGAATGTTTCAGAGGGAGACCTTGAACTTTCCCTCCCTTCTGCACCTGTTAACTGTAATGACAACAGAAGGAGCCAAATTTGGGAAGACAGAAATAAAACACTCAGTTTGCGTCGATCCTCCCGAATTCAAGAATTAAAAACATTGGCTTCAAAACAGAAGGGCGGTTCACGGAACCAATTCTTGAGTTTTAATTGCAATACGCCGGGCTGATTGTCTCAGTTCAGGCATCGTTTCAGAATTGATGAAGACCTTGGCAGTTCTCCTGGTTCCCTGGCCATAGTTTGGGAAGATTTCTAGGATATCAAGTACGGTTAGTGGATTGCTAACAGATTCCAGTATTTTCCCAGTGAGGCTTTTGGTTTTGCTTTGTCCATTTAAATTCATGTTTGCTGATTTTGCTGTGGCTTTTGACTTGCATTTTTCCTTTATTTTGTAACCATTTTTCTTCAATAAAAAGGATTGTTTTTCACAGCCAAGTGTGGTGGATAGTTATCTTAGGGCCTCGTTCCCTGCTCTGGATTGCAACACTCATATGAGAGAACTACCAAGACAGAAATGCTTAAAATAGACAAACAAGGAATTTCTCTAAAACCACAAGAAGAATTAAAATCGACCGACCTGACTCTCTCATAGTTTCAATACTGGCAGATTAAAGAAAACTTCCAGATAGATAGAATGACAGGTTTTGAAACGAAAGAGACTTTTTGGGATAATATAATAAAAACAGAGACGAAACTAACAAAAAAAACTATACCAACTATTAGCATGGTCAACAGAAGAAGAGCAGGTAAATGAGGTCATGATAAAATGGGCCAGGGACATAGGTAGACCAATAAGCATGTCAGAGTGGGAAGAGACATGGAAGAAGAAACAAAAATTCACCTATTCAGTGGAATTTAAGGAAAACTGGTATAAGATGTTTTAGAGATGGCATCTAACACCAGAAAAACTGGCTAAATTCAATAAAGGTAGAACCAGCAACAAATGTCGAAAATGTAGGAAGAACATCGGCATTTTCATACACATGTGGTGGAAGTGCAAGAAGATCAAATCCTTCTGGCACATGATACATAAAAAGATAGAACAAATTCTACAGATAAATTTTGAATTTAAACCGGAGTATTTTTTTATTACGCATCACAGACTTCGAGATGGAGAAAAATATAAACAGAATCTTTATCTACATGATAAAGGTGGCCAGGATTAATGTGGCCAAACTATGGAAATCCCATGAAATAACGATCACTGGAAATTGTTTATTGAAAGTGTGGGACATAATGAACATGGACTTACTTATGCAAAGAATAACAAACAATAATATAAAAAGACAAAAAACAAACTGGGGAAATATATTGAATTTATTACGAAAGATAACACAGAAAGAGACACAATAAAAATCTCAAAGGTCCAAAGACAATAAGAAACCCGACGGCAGAAGAACCATAAGAATAATGGAAAGAATTGACAACACAACCCAGAAGAACCTGGAAGTGACAGATCAAAAAGAGTATTCGTTGTCTTTTTTTTGTTCTTGTTTGATTCTCTCCCCTTTCCCCCCATCTCTCCCCACTTCTCCCTTTCCCACTTCCCTTCCACAAATTGTTCCCACACTGCTGTAAAATATCTTTTTTTGGGCTTCTACTCTCATTTTCTCCAGTCTATTAGAGATACCTTATTCTTTAAAAAAAACTTTAAAAAAGAAAAGGATACCTAATACTGTTTACTTATGTGCTTCTGAATACAGATTAAATATTCTAAGCTAAAGCCTACAAATGCAGTGTTCTGATAAATATGTGCCAAGAACAGGCAGGCATGGAAGTAAAAGGATTTGTCGGGGGGGGGGGACTTTGAGAAAAGAGAGCTTCTAAAAGTGGCACAACACATACAATCTTGAAGACAAGATGTTAGAGGCAGTATGCAAGAATAATCAGGGTTATTTTCAGGGAAGCGAGCAGGAGAACCAGACGAGACAAGATTGCAGCCAGATTGGGTAGGAAAATGAGACCAAAAAGCTTTGGTAAAAGAGCCAAGGCATGAAAACTGAAATTTAATTAATTTATTTCTTCCTTACAATTGTCATATAATGAAGCATTCGCCCATCCACTTTTCCTTCATCAAACTGTGTCTTATACTGAGGCAGTCCAATATCATCCAACCATCCTGCAAATAAAAAGACTGGTAATTATGCAATAAAAGACAGATAATGTCAGCTCCTTTAGCAACAGAAAAGTAACTTCTCTTGAAATCCAGCTATTGCTTTATATCCATACTCCTCACAAGGCCAATTAGGGGAGTGAAATCCCTCCAGATCACCTTAATTCACAACATCTCAGAATACAAGCCATGCAACTCTAACATCATCAACATCATATCTCTCCTATATAATTTTTAACATCTTTGCCTGATAAAGAAGTCAGCGAAGCTTTAAAGTCTTGCATAATGCATTTTATGCTTTGGAGCAAGAATGGCATTGCTGCTTGTGGATTTGGGGTTTGGGAGTATTTGCTGTATGGCAAATATACATACATATTTCTAATGCCTGCTGTTTTATTGATGCAGTGAATAAGGAAATCAAGAAGAAACAGTGAGCTGTTCCAGTATTTATTAATTTTAACATGATGTGAGCTTCTTTGAATCCTATCAAAGGAGAAAGGTAGAAATTGCCTATTCATGGAGTCAACGTGCAGTGGAAACCTCCACTGTGAGTTCGTTACAAGGAATAACAAACTCACAATGGGAGGTTTTCCACTGCACACTGACTCCATGAATAGACGATTTCTGCCTTTCTCCTTTGATAGGATTCAAATCAGCTCACATCATGTTATTTATTTATTTATTTACGACATTTATATGCCGCCCTTCTAACCCCGAAGGGGACTCAGAGCGGCTTACAAGGTATATATACATACAATGTATTATTAACATAGTACAATATCAGTTTTAAATATTGCTATATTGCACTATATCAATTATACTGTAATATTATTAGTAATATTACATGTATTATAAATATATAATTATAATATCATATTATTATTATTATTAGTATTATATTGCATTACATTACAATATTATAAATATTGTATGTATACACAATATATTATATATTATATTATAACATATTATTAGAATAGCACAGGAGACAAGGTGGAACTGTCCCCTGGCCCCCCTTTCTTCACTCCGGCCCAGAGCGGCAGTTGGTGCTGGGGGGAGGGGTCCCCAACGGATGGCAAATGCAGGAGACAAGATGGTGCTGTCCCCTGGCCTCCCCTCTCTTCGCTCTGGCCCAGAGTGACAGTTGGTGCTGGGGGGAGGGGTCCCCAACGGATGGCAAATGCAGGAGACAAGATGGTGCTGTCCCCTGGCCTCCCCTCTCTTTGCTCTGGCCCAGAGTGACAGTTGGTGGTGGGGGGTTGGGGTCTCCAACGGATGGCAAATGCAGGAGACAAGATGGTGCTGTCCCCTGGCTTCCCCTCTCTTCGCTCTGGCCCAGAGTGACAGTTGGTGCTGGGGGGAGGGGTCCCCAACGGATGGCAAATGCAGGAGACAAGATGGTGCTGTCCCCTGGCCTCCCCTCTCTTCGCTCTGGCCCAGAGTGACAGTTGGTGCTGGGGGGAGGGGTCCCCAATGGATGGCAAATGCAGGAGACAAGATGGTTCTGTCCCCTGGCCTCCCCTCTCTTCGCTCTGGCCCAGAGCGGCAGTTGGTGCTGGGGGGAGGGGTCCCCAACAGATGGCAAATGCAGGAGACAAGATGGTGCTGTCCCCTGGCCTCCCCTCTCTTCGCTCTGGCCCAGAGTGACAGTTGGTGCTGGGGGAGGGGTCCCCAACGGATGGCAAATGCAGGAGACAAGATGGTGCTGTCCCCTGGCCTCCCCTCTCTTCGCTCTGGCCCAGAGCAGCAGTTGGTGCTGGGGGGAGGGGTCCCCAACAGATGGCAAATGCAGGAGACAAGATGGTGCTGTCCCCTGGCCTCCCCTCTCTTCGCTCTGGCCCAGAGTGGCAGTTGGTGCTGGGGGAGGGGGTCCCCAATGGATGGCAAATGTTAAGAACAAAGTACCTGAAAAGCCTATTACAAAAGCTTAAAAGCATTAAATAAACAGTTCCATTCTAAAGAAACGCTAAATGACAACACATTCAAATATATTACTTTTTGCTGAAACAGACAGTTGAATGTTTTAAAATGATTTTACTATAAATTGTAATTTTTATGGTATTTATGAGGTTAGCATCCTCTGATACTCATGTGAGGCAGCGCTGAGTCCCCCTTGTGGGGAGAAGGGCGGGATATAAATATATGAAATAAATAAATAAATAAATAGAGACACCAGAAGACATCAGCTAAAATCTTTATAAAGGTAAAATCAGGCAATGTTGCATGTTTAAACTAACATTAATAACACACTGCAGCTTCTGAACACTCACATTACTTTGTCACAGAATTTCAAACGCTTCCTTAATTTGCAATCCTGCACATAAAAAAACATGTACAAGTCTCTCTTCAAGTGTTAGAAGCCACGCATATGTGTGAGCTACTCACAGGATCAACATGACATGGTAAACAAGGGATAGAAAAACTTACTTGTCACCCAATTGTAATCCAGTTTCCCATGGCTGTTCTCTTCTTCTGACCCTAATGCCTGCAGGGCAAGTTGAAGTTTTTTCCGATGCAGTGGGTGCTTTATTCCAAGTTCCTACATAGAGACAACAACAATAAAAAAATTTATAGAGTTGTATGTGAAACAAAAATTTGATATGTTCTCAAAGGCTTTCATGGCCGGAATCACTGGGCTGTGTATTTTCCGGGCTGTGTGGCCATCTTCTAGAACCATTCTCACAACCTCTGAGGATGCCTGCCATAGATGCAGGTGAAACAGCAGTAGATAATGCTTCTGGAAGCTGGCCATACACAGCCGAGAAAACACACATCAACCCAAAAAAATGATGTTGAAGTACAGATAACAGTCAACTTTGCTGGGCACATTTATAAAAATAAAGTATATGTGGCATAAATCAATTTATATTAATTTCCAAAAATTGGAGTGCCTCCTGTTTTGATTTTTGTAACACTCAGTTTTCATTGGACCCAAAATGCTACAGGCAGACTACCAACCAGTGCTCTTTGTAGGGAATCCTTAACTTCTTTCTTAACAATAGTTATTAGGTTCACTAGCTTCTGCTTTGCTTCCACAAATTAAAAAGTGCTGCTCGTGACTTAGGGACACCACTTACCCATATTTATTTTAGTGTGAAAAAATTCACATACATGTCTGGTGAAGACAAAAATGAGGATCTGTACTTTTAATTTCCATGTTATGTACCAATTTTTCAATTAGTGAAGATTGGGGGAAATTGTGGTAATGAATTTATTTTATGAAAAATAGCTATTTCAACCATTTTGCCTTATTTCATAGAGCAGTGTTTCTCAACCTGTGAGTCCCCAGGTGTTTTGGCCTACAACTCCCAGAAATCCCAGCCACTTTACTAGCTGTTAGGATTTCTGGGAGGTGCAGGCAAAAACACCTAGGGACCCACAGGTTGAGAACCACTGCCTTAGAGCAAACCATTCAAATAGACAGGACTTTAATTTCTCACATGAACTTCAATGTGCCTAGAACCAATCACATTTCATGACAGGTTCACCAAAATTGCATTAAACAGAAATTACTAAGTTTGAAGTAAAATCTCTGTTCAATGCTTAGAAAATTCTGAGTGAAATCCATCAAATCCCTAAGCTTTATTATTTTAAATTGCTTACTGTTGTTTATCTTTCTCCGTTACTGAAGCATTCAGCATTACATTTATGCTACAGATAAATTAATATGCCCCTCTACAGTGCTATTATTAATCCTAAAAGAATTGTCTGTTATTTATAAAACAAACAAATTGACTTTTACCACTATTTTGTTAATTTTTGTATTTTTTTCAAGTACTGCTGGCAGCAACAACATCTAATTGTATGTGTTTAAAGGAGTCTAATGTGTATCCCAATCAATAACACGATGTTAAAAAATGCAAAATTTTCTGTTCCTGGTTTGAAAATATTATTCCTGCCATGGAGCCCGGCGATCCTGTCGACGCCTTGGTTGATCTCTATAATAGGGAGATGTCCAGGGCGATAGATACGATTGCTCCTGAACGCCCCATCTCGTTGCATCGAGACAGGCCATCTCCCTGGTTCACCGAGGAGTTGGCTATGTTGAAACTCACGAGAAGGGGGCTAGAGCGCAAATGGAGGAAATCTCGCAGCGTCCCGCAAGGCTCTATCTTGTCTCCCATACTTTTTAACATTTACATGAAACCGCTGGGAGAGGTCATCCGGAGTTTTGGAGTTAGGTGCCATCTCTACGCAGATGACACACAACTCTACTACTAATTTCCACCTAATTCCAAGGAGGCCCCTCGAGTGCTGGACGAGTGCCTGGCCGCTGTGGCTATCTGGATGAGGGAGAACAAGCTGAAGATCAATCCCGACAAGACAGAGGTCCTCCTGGTCAATCGTAAACCAGATCAGGGTATAGGGTGGCCACCTGTGCTGGATGGGGTTACACTCCCCCTGAAGTCACAGGTCCGCAGCTTGGGAGCCCTCCTGGATTCATCACTTACGCTTGAGGCTCAGGCGTCGGTGGTGTCCGGGAGGGCTTTTGCACAACTAAGACTTGTGCTCCAGCTGCGACCGTACCTCGCAAAGGCAGATTTGGCCGGGGTGGTCCATGCCTTAGTCACCTCTAGATTGGATTACTGTAATGTGCTCTATGTGGGGCTGCCCTTGAAAACGGCTCGGAAATTCCAACTGGTTCAACGGGCGGCGGCCAGGATGTTAACTGGTGCTCCTTACAGAGAGAGGTCAACCCTCCTGTTTAAGGAGCTCCATTGGCTGCCGTTTACCTACCGAGCCCAATTCAAGGTGCAGGTGCTTACCTACAAAGCCCTAAACGGTTTGGGACCTGCCTACCTGCGTGACCGCATCTCCGTGTATGAAACCACGTGCTCCCTCCGTTCATCCGGAGAGGCCCTGCTCACGATTCCACCTGTGCCTTTCCAGAATAGGATAACCTCCAGCACTACGTCCCAGAAGCACTTTATTGAGTTTAAGACTCTCTGCACATTGCACTTGCCCAGAATCCCAACATATCACCTCTTACACCCAGCACTTTTTTAACCTGTACCCTTCATTGGCCCGGCCCTGGTTTTATTGCGTAATAGTGTAATGTTTTGTTTCTGTTATTGCTTATGTTTTTAATTTGCTTGCATTGTATTGTTATTGTCTGTTGTTGTTGTGTTGAGGCCTTGGCCTTTGTAAGCCGCATCGAGTCCTTCGGGATATGCTAGCGGGGTACAAATAAAGTTTAATAATAATAATAATAATAATAATAATAATAATAATATTTTCTGTTTAATTGTGCAGTACTTACTTTGAAAGTAGTTGTTATACTCCAGAAACTTCGCTTTTGCGACTGCTGCAAACTATGTTGAATTGGTTGAGACTTGATGGAATATTCATTGATAAACTATAGCAAAATGTGCTGTACGATGTCCATCAAAAACAAAGTTCTTGCAGTTTAAAAACCTTTTGTGTGTTTTTATGATAGAACCAATTAAGAAATGACTTTTATAACCGGGGGGGGGGGGGGATTGTGTTGCACAGTGTAATTAAAATCAATATAAACGGTCTTATTTAGAATGAAAAATTGAAAGGACAAGTGAATGCATCTACCTGCACCCTTCATTTACTGTTTGATTCTGTTTCATTCTACAAGAAAAGTACCTTGTAATTATGATGAAAAATCTACCTCCAGAACCTTACCTTTTCCAAATCAGATTGTGAAGCTTGCAGGAGAGTCTGACCAGAGAGTATCCAGTGTTTTCCATTGCCTATGTAAGAACCCAAACCCTGATCCTGAAGCCAGTTACAGACTTGTTCCTTTGTCCATTTAGCAAATGGCATGTCCAAATCACTATCATTTGGGGGGTGGAAGAGAGACATTGTCAGAAACAAGAAACAAGGATACATAAGGAAATGCAAACATGTTGATACCTCACTAGATGTCGTTTAACTGAGCTACATGCATCATATTCTTTCCAATATCATTACAAAATATTACTGAGTAATAAGATTTGTCACATTACAGGTCTCGTATTAGTGCTCAGTATAGTTTTATATTTATAATGCTGTATAATGAGCACCAGATAAAATTGAGTTTCTATAAAGTAAAGGTGAAATCATAATTTATTCCTGAAAAATGTAGAATTTGTCTATTATAAAAAAAATCAAATTAGCATCACCTCACCAAATTCTTGAAAAGGGTTCTGAACTGGATCAACAGGTAGGAAAATGCCACAAATGAGTCAGTTCCATTCCCACAAGTCTGTAAGCCCTTTCCAGTAGTGGAAATGTGCTTGAAAGGAATCTAAAATCTGGAACACCACTTTAGATGTGGAAGGCAGTGATTCTTTGATTATCAGTATCAGTATTCGAACCAAACCATATTTTTTATGCGTAGGCTTACTGCCCATACTGGCTTCATATTTGTGCCTTACTTGTTGGTTTGCCCAAGATCTCTCGACCAGCCCAATCTTGGACCCGCAGTTGCTCTTGTTCCTCCTCTCTTGAACTCAGTCTCAGTCATGTCATCTGGATTGAAAGTAGTAGATTGGCTCCGTCGGAGTCTGAGAAAAACCCAAGAAGGAGGAGAGAGGAAAAGAGGTTTAAAATATGGGAGTGTAACCACATCCCTGTGTAGTCAGACTGATGGTACATCTAGTGCAGCATGAATAAAATGCCTTGGAGATAACAGGACTACCTCCTGTAAAATTTTATGGCAACTAGAAGAGAAAGATATGGGCCAATTCATAACGTACAACAAAGGCTTTCCAAACGCATTTGTTTTCTCACCAACCAATGGAAATGCAGTGCACAATATCGCTACTAGTCCAGGGATGTAAAAGGCACGTGAAAAGATTGTAGAAGAATTCCAAAAAATGATATTACTTGTGTGTTGCATACTATATAAGAATATCTGAGAATTTGAGCAACAAAACAAAATTAGCCGTGGGCCCTTCCATACTTCACAGTTGTAACACTATAACTGGGATTTGGGGTTTAAGGTGAGGGCATTAGAATTCTCAGGCAGAGAGATCTAGTGCCACTCCAAACTTCAAAGTGCCATGATTCCATAGGATGCAATTATGGCAGTAAACATGGTATGAAAGTCCCCTTTGTCAGGGTAATCAACCATGGTCACCATTAAATAGTCTACTGTCATTTTTGTCAGTGATACTTTTATGTCATTTTAGAAGGCTTTCAAAGCTCAAATTCTGGACTCTTTGATGTGGGTGAAAAACTAGAAATAAAATATGGGGGTAGGCCATGAAATTATGGGCATCTGATCCCCAACATTTCTCTTCTTTAAACTATGTTGTTGTTATTATTCTCACTTTATTTCTCTAAAACAGTGGTTCTTAAAGTGTGAATCCCTGGAGTTGGATGGTTGCCTCCCAACTCCAGGGATTCTTGGACGACACCAATTATCTAGATCTATCGCAGTCTGGTCATGGCACTGAGACAGCTTTGGTCGCCTTGGTGGATGATCTCCGAAGAGAACTTGACAGGGGGAGTGTGTCCCTGTTGGTTCTCTTGGATATCTCAGCGGCTTTCGATACCATTGACCATGGTATCCTTCTGGGGCAGCTCTCCGGAATGGCTGCAGTGGCTCCACTCCTTCCTGGAGGGTCGTTCCCAGTTGGTGAAACTGGGAGATACCTGCTCGGACTCATGGCCTTTGACCTGTGGGGTCCCGCAAGGTTCCATTCTATCCCCCATGCTTTTTAATATCTATATGAAACCACTGGATGAGGTCATCCGGAGTTTTGGAGTTGAGTACCATCTGTATGAAGATGACACCCAACTCTACTACTCATTTCCACCAAACTCCAAGGAAGCCTCCCAGGCCCTGAACCAGTGTCTGACTACTGTGATGGACTGGATGAGGGCTAACAGGTTGAAGCTTAATCCAGACAAGACAGAGGTCCTCCTGGTCAGTAGTGGGGCCGACTGTGGTATTGGGTGGCAACCTGTGCTTGACGGGGTTACACTCCCCCTGAGGGTGCAGGTCGGTAGCTTGGGGGTCCTCCTGGACTCAACGCTGTCACTTGATGCTCAGGTGTCAGCGGTGGCCAGGAGGGCCTTTGCACAACTTAAACTCGTGCACCGGCTGTGACCGTACCTCGTGAAGTTTGACTTGGCCAGCGTGGTCCACACCTTGGTTTCATCCAGATTGATCTATTGCAATGCCCTCTATGTGGGGCTGCCCTTGAAGATGGCCCGGAAGCTCCAATTGGTATAATGGGCGGCAGCCAGGCTCCTTATTGGAGCAAACTATAGGGAGCATACAATGCCCCTTTTAAAACAGCTTCACTGGCTGCCGATAAGTTGCAGAGCCAAATTCAAGGTGCAGGTTATGACCTATATAGCCTTAAACGGTTCCGGCCCCACCTATCTTCGTGATCGCATCTCCCTCTATGAACCAGCGCGAACTTTAAGATCTTCTGGGGAGGCCCTCCTTTTGCTCCCACCAACGTCACAAGCATGGTTGGTGGGGACGAGAGAGAGGGCCTTCTCAGTGGTGGCCCCCTGCCTCTGGAATGCCCTTCCTGGAGAAATAAGACATCCTCATCCCTCCCCTCCTTTCGTAAGAGCCTGAAGACCTGGTGGTTTAAACAAACCTTTGAGAATGATTAGTTCTAGCTCTGCCCTGTTGAAATTGGCCATACTGTTGAAATTGGCCATATCTTTTTCTACCAATTACCCAGGTCACTTTCGTATGTTAGGCCCTGGAAATGTACAGCCATAGAGTCTACCTAATTTCCCGGGCCCTCTAAAATTGCACTAGCCCGGCCTGGCCTTTTAAACTGCCTTGAACAGGCAGGATTATTTTAAATATATGTGATATTGTGGTTTTTAATGCTTATATTGTCTTGTTAATTTTATGTTTATGCTGTTTTCTTTGTATATATTGATCATGTTACTTGGAAACCGCTCTGAGTCCCCTTGGGGAGATAGAGCAGTATATAAATAAAGTTTTGTTGTTGCTCCGCTGAACTCTTGGAGCTGAGCGGCACTGTGCTTCCCTTCTCCTCCTTCCCCCGCCCTTCAAGTTTTTATTCCTCTTTCTTGCTCCTCCCCTCTATCCACCTCCTTCACTGTTAAAAGCTCCCACCTTCCTTTCCACCAAAAGCCTTTTTCCTCCTCTTCCTTGCCGCCCAGATCATTTCCCCCTGCCTTCCTTCCTTCCTTCCAAAAACGCTATTTCCCTCCACCGCTCAGGGGGTGCTTTGATTGCTCTTTTCCTGCATGACAGAAGGGGGTTGGAATGGATGGCCCCATTATTAAATGAGATATGTGCAGTGTGCATAGGAATTTGTTCACTCCCCCCCCCCCCATTAGTTCACATAAACACTCTCAATCCATCTGCCACTGGCCCGGCCTGTCTGTCAAATTTTTAAAATGCAATGCATCAAAAAGTTTGCCAACCTGACACATAATAAATCATATAATATAATATACACATATTTATTGGGGTTCCACAAGAAGCTTTTGCTTCAAAAAGGGCTAAGCAGCTGAAAAAGTTGAGAACCCTTGTTGTAAAACAAGACCAAAAGTTGTCTCCATCCGACTTTATCAATGTTAACTGTGATACTGAGAACAATGTGACAGATTTTCGCCCCAGGATGTTAGTGCACTCAGAATTTTAGCCCTCTGCGATGATGGAACACTAAGGAAATAATAATAATAATAATAATAATAATAATAGTTTAGTTAATACTTAGACAATATGTCTTTCACAAATAGAACAGATAAAGAAATACATAAAAACCAGATTATAAAATACAATACAAAATACAATGTTAAAATACTATAGAACTCATTAGTATCATTAAATTCCACATAAATCAATAGCAAGATGCAGCCTTAAAATACTGCATAAAATACTATATGAATTTGCACTTCTATAGGTAAAAACCAAGTAGGATTAGATATTATTAAAATTTAAACAAGAAACACTTTAGATAGAAACAGCCACATCATGATTAGGTAAAAGCATCCCCAGAACAGTCGACTGCAATGTCAAAAATTAATCTTGCCCAGATTTTCTGTGCAACCAGAGCAAAAAGATATACCTTCAACTTGTGGGTAACCATAGGGTTTGAGTCAGCAAGGAGATATAAAATCTTTTCTGAAACCATGTTGGATTGTAAAACAAACAACAGAATTTTAGTCCCTAGGACAGGACAACAAATGATGAAGCTGATCCACAATTTCCGAGGCCCCACCATAGTGGTGCCTGAGTATCTGCCATCAATTACTGCTATAGGCATGCTTTGAAAGCAAAGGGCTGTGAAGATTTGCCAAACTTTTGGAAATGTTGGATAAATGGTATTTTCATGGTCAAGTTCATACAATTTAAACCAGTTGGAAAATTTGGAATTATTAATAGCCTGTCTGTCCTGGTGAACACTGTGATTAAAAAATATTCATGGAGCTTCTCTCGAGTTCCAAATAGAGAGCAGCTTCTGATATCTTTTATTCCAGGCTCTACATTTTACTATCTGTTCAAAGCATCCCATGTGGAGAATCCTAACGGAAGAATCTTTTCCAATAATTAAATATGGTAAAATGAACACAAGATCTAATAGAGGGGAGAACAACCTTTGCTTGGACCAAGGCTTCAGGAGTGCCCGGTGGGTGTCTCAACAGTTTTTAAAGAAATGTATTCTGAAGGGCCTCCATGAGAATCATTCCATTCCCAGATATTGGCACCATACAGATTCTGGGATATAACTTTACTCTGAAATATTTTTAGGGCTGGGACAACTAAGTGGCCCCCTGCAGTGTTGTAAAATCTGATAATTGCTCCAACAGATTTCAAAGCTACTGCTCTAGTGTGTTCTCTACTGAGTTTGCAAGATAGATTTTCGATAAAAGCGATTCCAAGTTATTTAAATTCCCAGAATCATTCAATTTGGTGACCTCTGATGATCCAACTGTATTGAGTGGTTTTTCCCCAAACACCATTATCTTTGTTTTGTTATAGTTGATATGTGCCGAGCTTAGAGAACAGGCTTCTCAAACCAATTTGGGTGAGTGAGATTACCACCATATCATCAGCATATAATAGAATGGAAATTTTTGTGGCTCCTACTGCAGGTGGAAAAAATCTGGCCCTGAGAATGCAGGTATTATATTGGTCACATATAGATTAAAGATTGTTGGAGCCAATAGGCACCCTTGTTTTACTACTTTTATTAGTATGGATGGATAGAGTCAGTTAAACAGCCCTGGTGTTAAAATAGGAAATTGCACAGTTCCCCCCCCCCCCCCAAATACATTATTTTCCAGAAACTGCACAGCTTTCCTCACAGAAAGAAAACCATGAAATAGTCAAACTGGCAAAAGCTGCCTCTTGAGTTTCTTTTCCTGCTACACAACATTTGGTCTGTGTAATAGTCAAACAAACAAAAGCATAGATTTTTACAGCAAAGCTACACAATTTCTCAAATACCTATGCAGTTTTTCAAAAATTGCATTTTGTGTTGTTCTGGAGGTGTGGGGAAGGGTTCCAGCAAGTTGCAGGAACTTTTGATGTGAACACTTTTCTTCCCAAAATTTGACCCTTGTAAGGAACATAATGAATTCCCATATGACATTTAGTAAAATTACCTTCCAAACAGTTTCTTGATTCCTCTGGCTTTCTTTTTGGAGTCAGGAGAGGGCGGAGTCAAAGCCTCACCGACTGTACCTTTAGATCGAGGAGGCAAGCCAGCCAGATCTAAATGATCTGCAGATCCTTTTTCTGTCTCCACTTTGAAATAAAAGAAAACCTCAATTATTGACATCAATCTATAGATTCAATTGAAGTGCCCATTTCCAGTTTGTGAAATAACATTGGCTAGTAGTCAGTTCATTGAGGTTAAATCAAGTGAAATACATATCAATTAGGCATGTGCATAAGTTTGGATTAAAATTGGAACTTGTATCAAATCTGTTAAATTTGTGCATACAAAGTGATTTCCAAGACATGCAGGAAAGATGGGAGAGGGGTTAGAATTTGAATCACTTATCTGTTTCTTCATAAATGTTCTGTAACATATGGATGTCTCCAAAGGTCGTGATTTTGGGCGTGACTAATCGCAGCCATCTTAACTATAGTTTGTGAAGGCTAGGACCCCAATGGTAGACAATTGCAAAAGGTCTTGCGATAAACTACATTTCCCAGAATGCAAAGCTGCTTAGGACCTAAATGAGGCTGAAGGACCCAAGTGAGGGCTGGCCTCAGCAGTTGCCATTTAGAATTACTGGAAATAAAATAAATAAAATAATTGAATCTAGCCTGCAAAGAGGACTAAAGTAAGCAAGCATTAAGGAACTTTGGCAAAGCCATAAAGTTCTTTTACTTTGGACCATTGTCATAAGGAAGGCACTGTGGAGGACAGCCAGCTAGCCGTTTAGAGTCAGTCTAATGATAAAATGAGTTGAAATTATGTGGTTGTGTGAGTCATAAAGACAGACTGATATTGAAGGTGATTGCTGTTGTTGCTTTTTAGGGGAATAAATTGATTTGCTCTAAACCAATCTGTTGGTTTGTAAAAAAAGGAATGTATATGGATGTGTCTTGAGGGTCTCCTCCAACTCAATAGGGGAAGCAAATTGATGTCAGGAGAGTTTGGATGGTGTCTGCCCAGAAGAAGGGGGTAAGTCTACACATCCCTTGATGGTGTCTGAACTATGATTTCTCTTCCTGGGTTATAAATGGCAGTTCCTAATTGGTCCTGTCATAAAAACATGGCAAAAATGTATTACACTGCAAAAACTTTGTCTTTGTGCAAGGGACACCACCCTATAGCACATTTCCTTTGTTGAGTCTCCACCAATTTAACATAGTTTCTACCACAAAAACAAAGTTTCTGGAGTAGGACAACTACTTTCAAAGTAAAGACCATAGAGTGAAACAGGAAATAACACTTTCAAACCAGGAATAGATTTTCTTTATTTTAATAAAACTTTCAAAATTCGCCAAAACTCCATGAATAAGTCAAACATTCTGAAATTTGGTGAGCTAACAGTGGTAAATGTGTTCTACCACTGTAGCAAATTTCACCCGGATAGCTCAAAAAATGAAGGGAGAGAGAAGCCCCTGAATTTTCCCCACTGACAATGATGTTTTCCCAATTGTGCATGCGCAAACACCATTAACAAAATCATAGTCATAGAATCATAGAGTTGGAAGAGACCTTGTGGACCATCCAGTCCAACCCCCTGCCAAGAAGCAGAAATAATTATGAAGATTCCTAAGTTTTGTTAGAGTTACGAATTTTTTACCACTAAAAATTCTGAAAATGAAGCACCAGTGTCCCCTATTTTTGTAAGTAGTTTAAAACCATTTTTAATGGATCGCACATGCCTAGTATCAATCAATAAGTTTTTTTTTACTGGAACATATAATTCAATTAAAATCAATGTATTATTTAATCAATACCAAATTGTCTCTTTTATGGTTTTATCTTATCTCCTGCCATTCTATGATAAATGTATATGGAGATCCAAAATGATCCTAAAGCAAAACCTGTGATTTAAGGGTATATAATGTGTTGTCGCAGGCTTTCATGGACGGAATCACTGGGTTGCTTGAGTTTTATTTATTTACAACATTTATATCCCACCCTTCTCACCCTGAAGGGGACTTAGAGTGGCTTACAAGTTATATGTACATATAACATATTATATTATTAGCATAGCACAATATTAGTATTATATTTTACTAATATTTTCAGGTTGGGAAATGAATGTATTGCAGAAACTGCCCTGAACATAGTCAGGACCACAAAAATATACCCAATTTATACATGAGATTCACTCGTACACACATATATACAGTACAATTTATACACACAGCCATACTATAAAAGGAACCTCGTTTTACTGCACTACTGTTTCTCTTCCACATTAAACCCAATTTTTTTTACTAAAGAAGAAAGGGTGCCCTCGAAGGGACAAAGTGAATTAATCCTAGTATTGCGCAAAAAAAGAACAGTATAAATATGAAGCTCCTCTACATTGGTTACAAATAACCCTCCATTTTCCTGTACCATCCCATGTAATTGGATGGTTTGGATTGGAAGAGAAGCAACCGGGAGGGGTATGGCTAGGTCTTAGAACCTGAGTTTAGTATGGACTACAGAGAGGGTGAGACTGAGACTTAGGATTGTGCACCTCCCAGTCTCCTGAATTTGAACAATTTCATTTGGTCCGAGGCCCAAAAATGTAGGATACTTACCTGTAACCTTGTTTCTTCGAGTGGTCATCTGTGAAATCTGTACACGTGCTAGCAATTATCGTGCATGTGTAGCAGCTTGGACCCTATAACAAGCTCTCTATACCTTTAAGGCTATGGCCTCACACGTCCTCCCCATAGTACATATAGGACACAGCTGGGGCAGTAGCACCAGTTCCTCTGCTGTGCAGCGGCAGATTCACTGGGGCAGGACACTCAGAAGGGAGGCAGGGTGGGGATGTGCGTATTTCACAGATGACCACTCGAAGAAACAAGGTTACAGGTAAGCAACCTATATTTCTACTTCGTGGTCTCTGTGAAATCGCACATATGGTAGACTGACAAGCTACATAACCTGGATGGCGGGCGTCATGCCACCGCTGAGAACAGGACAGCTCTTCCAAAAGAGGCATGCTGCTTGGAGAGGATGTCCAACTTGTAATGGGCGGCAAATGTCAATGGAGTGGCCCAGGTCGCCGCCCTGCACACTTCATCAAGTGGCACACCACTGAGATATACCATTGTCGAGGCCATGGCCCTTCATAGAATCATAGAATCATAGAATCATAGAATCAAAGAGTTGGAAGAGACCTCATGGGCCATCCAGTCCAACCCCCTGCCAAGAAGCAGGAATATTGCATTCAAATCACCCCTGACAGATGGCCATCCAGCCTCTGCTTAAAAGCTTCCAAAGAAGGAGCCTCCACCACACTCCGGGGCAGAGTTCCACTGCTGAACGGCTCTCACAGTCAGGAAGTTCTTCCTAATGTTCAGATGGAATCTCCTCTCTTGTAGTTTGAAGCCATTGTTCCGCGTCCTAGTCTCCAAGGAAGCAGAAAACAAGCTTGCTCCCTCCTCCCTGTGGCTTCCTCTCACATATTTATACATATTATACACTCCTTGTGGAGTGGCCTTTGATTGTGGCCGGAGGATCTTTCCCGGTCATATGATATGCCAAGCATATAGGAGACTTGATCAAGGCTGAAAGGAGCTGGGACGAAACAGTGTCTGCAGTGTCTGGCCCGGTACTGAAGAAAAAGTCTCGGAGACTTCCGAATGGATTCTGTCCTATCCAAATAGAAAGCAAGAGCCCTCCTGACATCAAGGAGGTGAAGGGATCGTTCCAGATCCATAGAAGGGTTAGGAAAAAAAGCAGGCAAAATGATGTCTTGAGACAAATGAAAAAGCGACTTAGTCTGTGTGGAACCTAATATAGGGCTTGTTTGCGCAGAGTGCACACAGTTCACCAGCTCTGCGAAATGATGTGATAGCGACAAGAAAAGCAGTCTTCCAGGAAAGGTAAACGAAATCAGTCGAGGATATAGGCTCAAAAGATGGACTTTGCAGAGCTGAGAGGACCAGGTCAAGCTGCCAAGCTGGAGGTGGAGGTCTGATCTGTGGGCGAATGCTCTTATAACCTTGCAAAAAAAGTTGAACAAGTGGATCTCGAAAACAAGATGGAAGGTTCACCCCCTTCCAATATGCCAGAATGGCTGCGAGGTAACACTTGATAGAAGAGTAAGCTAGCCCAGCCACTGCTAGGGATGCCAGGAATTCCAACAACAGCAGAGTAGAGGGATCCGCATTGTGCTGTTTGAGGAAATCAGAGCAACGCTTCCACTTGGCAGCATAGGAAGTCTTGGTGGAATCCCGATGGGCCACATTAAGAATAGTTGTCACCACCGCAGAGAGCTGCGGGCCCTGATGCGCCATGCAGTCAGATGGAGGTGATGGAGATCCAGATGGTGCATCTGTCCGGAGTGGGAGGACAGAAGGTCCAGCCTGTTGCTTAGCTGTGTGAACTCCCTTGCTGACTTGGCGAGGAGAGAGGTGAACCATGGTTGGCAAGGCCACCATGGCATCATCCTCGTCTGTCTTTGCCAGGACCCTCGTCAGGAGGGGAAGCCGGAGGATATATGTAAAGGAGGGGACCATGCCAACTGTACTGGAGGGTGTCTCAGAGACAGCTTCAGCGAGAGTCTCGTGGCAGTCTGGCACAATACAGGTTCTGTGGTGATGCAAAGACATCGATGGTGGGCCGGCCCCACCTGCGGAAGAGAGCGCCAGCAACCAGACGTGTGTCGCTGGCAAATGCCTGCTGAGCCGGTTGGCTAGAGTGTTATCCTCTCCCGGCAGATAAACGGCAGTGAGGCGGATGTTCCTGAGAATGCACCAGTCCCATATGGCCAACGTAAGTCGGAGCAGTGAACGGGAGCGGGTGTTTGTTCACATACTAGCCAACAGTGGTGTTGTCTGTAAGGAGCTGAAAAACTCGAAGGACTTGAGCGCCTTGAAGACAGCAAGTAGCTCCAAGTAGCTCCAAAAAGTTGATGTGATTCATGGCTTCTTACCGGGACCATCGGCCTTGAGCAACAAGATCCCCCGAATAGGCACCCCAGCCCTGCATAGAGGCATCTTTTGTAAGCGACACAGTTGGCTGCCGGGGACATTGGCATGGCTTAGCCACCATCGATGGGAGCTCTGGACACTTGCTGGGACAGTGAGGATCCTGCGAGGGCTGTGATGAAGAG